GTACAGCACATACACACAGAGAATTGAAATTGCGTTACTCTCAGACCCTTGGTGCATACAGATAACACTAACAGTAGAACATAAATACAGATATACAGATTAAATATAAAATACAACTAATAAAAAAAAAAAAAAAAAAAAAAAAAAAAAAAAAAATATACATATATATATAAGTTTTGCACAACGTATATACAACAGTTGTTTACTACTAGAACTAGAAGCCAAATTTTGGTCATAGTACAAGCATTCGATTGAACTTTCCAGTAGTTTTCTCTGGCTGTAAGGAAGAACTGCCTAAACAGACATGTTAGAAGCATTTAGCTTGTGGATTTGTATGGGTTTCGTTCCTTAACAGCATCACGTTTGACGTGCTCCGGTCTGTGGTCTTCTTCTACATCAAGACCCCTCTGAGAGTGAAGGAGGCAGGGCTGGAGGAGCTCATCCCGACCACCTGGTGGCCCACACGCTTCGACAAAGAGGTCAGAAACATCCGGACACATGAGTATGAATATGAATAGCATTATATACACAGGCTTCACAAAAGCTGTAACCTGAAATGATCTCGTCAAGCGAACACTAATCTGAACTCAGCCCTGGTTGAAGCGACAGATGAATAATTCTCCGCTGTCTCTCCTGACGCGTGTCCAGGGCAAAGATGAGAGGGACACATGCGAGGAGACGGCCGAGGAGAGGCTGAGACGGCGAGCGTACGAGCGCGGCTGTCACAGACTGAAGAAGAGGATTGAGGGTATGTCACACACACAACATCAGATCTGCAAGCATATCTGTCACTGTGACACTCAGCTGAACCCGTGTGTGTGTGTGTGTAGTTGTGGAGGAGCTGCAGGTTCAGATCCTGAGGTTAATGCTGAACAACAAAGACAAGGGGACGGTATGTTGATGCTTGTTTTGCACACGTCTGCTCGCACAGTTATGTTTTATTATATTTATAAAATGTATAATATGGGAATGTCAGAGAATGGCCCATTTAGACAGGAAGACCCAGTCTGACCTACATGAAAAGTGTCAAAATGTTTTTTTTTGTGTAAAAAAAATCTAAATGGGACAGTGTTGTTATTGTGAACTAAAACTATTAAAAATAATTTTGATAAATTTGAAACTAAAACTGAAATAAAAAAAATAGCTAAATAGAAATATTCAGAAAAAAAATATATAACAGAAATAGAAAATATTCAGAAATATTCATAAAAATAATTAGAAAAACTAAATCTTATAAAAAAATCACAAAAGCACAAGCTAAAATGAAAATGAAAACAGAAAATATAAAATAAATGCTTATTCAAGATATTAAGAATTATAACAGTAGTTAACACTGAAATTAGATGAAACCACAAAAATATAAATATCTAATTATTAAATTAATCTGGTTTATATAATAATTATTATTATATAAATTTTCTTCACAATATCTAGTACCCTAACAGAAACCTGTTTTGGGGGGATATTTTTACATTTCAACTAAGATGTTGTTTAGCCCAAATACGTTTTTTTTTTTTATTTAAAGGGGTCATATGATACGATTTAAATTTTTCCTTTCTCTTTGAAGTGTTACAAGCTCTTGGTGCATAAAGAAGATCTGTAAAGTTGCAAAGACTAAAGTCTCAAATCCAAAGAGATATTCTTTATAAAAGTTAAGAGTCAGCCACACCTACCTAAAACAGCTCGTTCTAACACGCCCCCACATATCTACATCACTGTGTGGGAAGATTTGCATAACGCCGCCCAAATGTTCACGCAAGGAAAGAAGGCGTAACTTTTATTCTCGCTGTAGTATTGTTGACGCTGCAGCTATGTCGTGGAGACGCTGTGTTTCGTTGTGAAAGCGAAACTACTTTGTTTGGTCTTCCAAAAGAGGACGATATCCGCTTCGTCATGCCTGGTACTTTGTTTGGTCTTCCAAAAGAGGACGATATCCACTTCGTCATGCCTAGAGCTTATCTGTGCTGGTCGCTGAGGGAATACATCAACTTTCACCGTGGACGAAGCGGAATCCAGCTCGGGGTCCGTCACATGTGGTTTCTGCTCATTTGTCGGATCTCGACCCCGCCGCCACCGCTCACTCTAGCCCGGCCTCCGCTCACTCTAGCCCGCCGGCCGCCTGAACCTGCAGAGTAGCCTACAATGCCGGCTGCTCTGACTCACAGTCTGTAAGTACGTTTTTATATTTAAAGGATTTGCCACTGACGATTCAAACGCGAGTTTTGGGCAGTGTAGAGTAGCGCTTGTTACACCTCGCTTTTCAGACCGATGAGCTTTGTAAAAATCGACGCGTTTCAGAAAGGCGGGGCATAGAGGAGAAATAATAATGTACAGTATGTGGAAAATAATGTGTTTTTTGAACCTTAAACCGCATAAACACATTTCATTACACCGAATACACAAAATAATGTTCTTTTTAGCAGCATCATATGACCCCTTTAAATTTATTTTATTTTTTGATTTAGTGAGACCTTCTTTTAAAATTTGTTTATTATATTTGGGAGTTCACCATAAAAATAGCCTATATAACTAGTACTACAGTGTATGTCTTCAAAAGCCATATAATGGTTTTGTGTGATCAACAGAACATAATTTAAAGGTATAGTTCACCCAAAAATGCTGTCATTAATTACTCACCCTCATGTTGTTCCAAACCCCTAAGACCTTCGTTCATCTTTGGAACACAGATTTTTCGCTGAATGTAAACAACACTGATTACATTGATTACGTTCTGGGCTACTCTCCAAAATGGGGGAAGACGGTAACTCTGGGAGAAGAATTGCTGAATAAATTATGTTATTATTGTTTTGTTTGCGCACAAAAAGTATTCTCTCTGCTTTGTAAACTTATGGTTAAACCCTTGATGTCACATGGATTATTTTAACGATGTCCTTTGCTACATTTCTGTGCGTTGATCGTGGTAATATCCTTGCTGTCTATGGAGGGTCAGAAAGCTTTCAGATTTGATAAAATTTTATTATTTTAATTATAATACATTTTATTATTTATTTTATCTTTGTGTTCTGAAGATGAACAAAGGTAATTAATGACAGAATTTTTATTTTTGGGTGAACTATCCCTTTAACTGAGACTCGACAAACGATTGCCATCTAGAGAAAGATTAATATTCAGTTACAAGTTGTGAATGTTTCTGATCCAACCTGTGTGCCGTAATTACCTGCAGGGTGTCCGCGGGTCCTTAAAAAGTCTTAAAATGTCTTAAATAACGTTTTCCTAATATAAGGCCTTAAAAAGTCTTAAATTCGGATTCGATGGGTCTTAATTATAAAAGTCTTAAATTTAACTTGTTCAAGTCTGCAGAAACCCTGATCTGTGTCTCTTTTTTTCACAGGGCGAAGCTTCTCGATACATTTTCCTGAACAAATTCCGCAAGTTCCTTCAAGAGAACGCCAGCAATAGAGGGGTAGGACACACAGGACAGCTTTGGCCTCATTCATACCATATATGTTCCATATCTGCATAGTATCTAGATATTCTTTATCTGGATTGGATATTCCTTTACATGTGATGAATAGATCATAAGATCACAGTCTATTTCTGCAAAAGCAAAAGTAAAAGCTACAAACCCGCCACACAGCATTTGGTACGATTTAAAGAGCTCCTGCCACAGAAGGTCTTCCAATCAATGCTGCAAACAGGACATTTCAGAAATATGTTTCTTAATGTGTTTTGATGACTGGAATATCTGCTTTGTTTTTTTTTATTAGTTCCAGTATCATATAAATTGGCAAATTGTGCTGACATAAAGGATGTAACAATAAAGACAAAAGAAGCTTGAGGATTTTATAATTCTCAGTGCATGCTTTTTGGCACTGAATCTGATGTTCCCTGCTTAAACTTCACAGAAGTAAATGAATATGGCCATTTTCTGTAACGGGATTGTTATTGATAGGATTGTTTCAGTTAATTTGCAGTGATCAGGCTTTTATTGGAGGGTTTGATGTTTGTCTCATGCTTCAACTGATGTGATGTTGTTTGTGTGTTCAGAACCCCACAGTGTTGTGTCCTCCTGAATACATGGTGTGTTTCATACACCGGCTCATCACGGCCATCAGGAGCTACTGGGATGAAGGCAAGAGAAAAAGCCCAGGATCCATTGTTCAAAAACAGCAAGGGCGCTTGTTGGCTTCTGCAGTAAAACGTGAACTTGCGATGCCTTGAAAGACAAAACCGGCTTTTTTGACAAAACGTGTTCAGGGTTCAGATCGCGCTAAATGTGGAGAATAATGCACGGCAATCAGCTCATTTTTTTTAAAGTGCCGTTTATCAGTTTTTGCAAATGAACCCTTCATATTGTTAAATAACTTGAACTATTAAAAATATTTTTGGTAGTTGAAATAAAGCTAATATATATATATATATAAAAAGAAAATATTACATGACAAACTTCCAGCGAAAACTAAAAATCTTGCCTCGGCAAATAACTGAATGAGTTGAAGCACTAAAATTAAAATAACAATTTTAAGTTGCAGCAACTAAAACTCAAATAAAAATAAATGAAACTTACATGGTTATATTTAAAAACAATATAAAAAAATATGTAATCCAAAAAATATCATTCAAGTCATTCAAAATGACAAAAAATGTAATTAAAAATGAAAATAAAAGCTAATTCAAAATATTTATAAAACCCAAACAATATATAAATAATACTAAAATAACTTTGCTTATTTCTTTATTAGTGAGAACATCATTTTAAAGGGGTCATATGATGCTTTTTTAAAGATCATTATTTTGTGTATCTGGTGTAACAGAATATGTTGACATGCTTTAATGTTCAAAAAACACATTATTTTTCAAATACTGTACATTATTGTAGGTCCTCTATGCCCCGCCTCTCTCAAACGCTTCGTTTTCTACAAAGTCCCTCCTTCCGACAAGCGCAGTCTGCTCTGATTGGCCAGCTGACCCGGTGCATTGTGATTGGCCGAACACCACAAGCACTCGTCGGAAATGTAACGCCCCTTACCATAATCGCCAGCTTCATCTTTCAAAATAAATGTAAAGACAGAGCCCAAAAGGGGAACAGAGTCACGTGACAGACACAGTGATGAAGCTGGTATGTGTTTGCAGTACACAAGCCACGGTTAAGACAGCTGACTCCACTGTGATCTCTCTCTCACTCTCTGTCACACACACACACGCACGCACGCGCGCGCGTCCATAAAATGCATTGCTGTTCTGTTGTAAGTAATCTTAAAGATTCCTAAATGCATCTACTTCTGGAAGGCCAAATAAAATGCTTTTGCTTTCGCCTAGAAACACACAGCATCTCCCTGACATGGCTGTAACAAAACATACTTACAGTAGCTGATTCAGAAGCAATGATTGTCATAGCAAAGTCAGAATTACCTCTTCTCCTAGGTTCACGAAACGGTCGTCCATAAAATGCATTGCTGTTCTGTTGTAAGTAATCTTAAAGATTCCTAAATGCATCTACTTTCGGAAGGCCAAATAAAGTGCTTTTGCTTTCGCCTAGAAACACACAGCGTCTCCCTGACATGGCTGCTTCAACACTAACTGCGGTTACTGAAACCATGCCTTCTTTCTTTGCGTGAACATTTGGGTGGCATTACGCAAATATTTCCACATAGTGAGGTAGATATGTGGGGGCGTGTTAGAATGAGCCGTTTTAGGTAGGCGGGGCAGAGTCTTAACTTTGATAAAGAATATCTCTTTGGTTTTGAGGCTTTAGTCTTTGCAACTTCAGGGATCTTATCTATGCACAATCAGCTTGTAAAAATAGCAATAAAATACAAATAAATACAAAATAAAATATACAAATAAAAAACCTGAAGTAAATGAAAATGTTGTATTGGCTGCTAACGTAAAGTTAAGGCACTGAACTTATAATTGAATGTCATGTCATTGACCCCATTTGTGTTCCCGTCAGACGCGTACGTCCCCCCTCAGCTCTTCTACAACGGGAAGGTGGATTACTTTGACCTGCAGCGTTTAGGAGGACTTCTCTCGCATCTGAAGAAAACGCTCAAAGGTTGGTAAAAAACACATGTAAAGTGTGTTTCAGAGGTTGGTCAAATAATTACCCAGCATGCAGCTGCTCTAGACACCACCAGAGGGAGCAGAAGTTCAATTTGTTTTGAGTGTTACTCGCACTGACAGCAGATACAATCCAGTCGGTTAAAACCTCTGAAGACAAGAAATAAAGCTTTTCTGTATGAGGTGTGGCAACAACAAAAGTACTTTTATTTTACTTTTTCGTTCTGTTTATTTTCAGAAGCTCGCTTTAATGCTCGCAGACGTAACTTTTTTTAATCTTCCTAGACGTAAACAGAGACGTGCAATCTCATATTGATGTGCCTGTTATGTTCGTTTTGTTTGGTAACTCTTGAAATTTCACTATTGATCTTTTCAAAGCTGCCAGACGAATGGTTTAGATCGATCAACCCTCCAAATTAGTTTTAAATTGAGACCGAATACATTGTACACTTCCTGCAGGGTGTTTTCTTTTTCTTTTCTCTTTTTTTTTTAGTTTCCGACTTCATTATTAACCTCAAAAACGTTGGTGGTCGTTACTGTGATTTGTGGCATCATTAAAATTTCTGAAATGATGGGATGAGATGGAAGCTGGCGGCGTTCAGAAAGACCGGGATGCAGATGGATATTGATTTCCCTCAAGGCAGTGGTACATGCCGCAAAAATATTGACGAACAGCAGGGAACACGCTAAGATAGAGTGAGAGAGAGGGAAGGAGGATGAAGGAAGTGGTTGAGAGTTGTGCCTTTGATGTAATGATATGTTCTTTTGTGGTTTGCGTTAGATGATTTTGTTTGTCTGAGGTATTTGACAGGAGTTCGCCTGGATTGGCTGCAATTTCTGTGGTGAAGTTCAAATTTGTATATGGCCCAAAAAACATGAGGATCTGAATTTAGGTGTCAGACAGCATGACGCTTGAACAGAATAATTAACATTAAACATAGCATAGAATTGTTTAATGAATAGCAACATTTACATTTTAAAATGAATACGCTTTACATTTAAAATTTTTACATTTAAATTTTAAAGCTTCTGATAAAGAAACTCATCTAAGTCTTGAATGACCTGAGGTTGAGTAAATATTCAGCAAATTTTCATTTTTGGGTGAACTATTCCATTAATGTCCCAAAAGTGTCACACATCACTAAGTTTGTAGCATAGCATAGCATTTTAGTTAGTTTCACCTCCACACTACATATGTGGTTCATGAAATAACTTTCCACTTCATAAATGCCTCCAGAAACTTGAGAAGTGGCCTCGCTGCTTGTACACCATGAAAACACAATGATCCCATTTCCCCATATTATAGTTATCAATAAAAGTGTCAAAATAGTAAAATAAATCTGACCTTTGACATACAATTTTCGATGTATTATGATTTGAGGCTCACGTAATCTGTTGTATTATACAGAGCGGATGGTACGTAAATTATGAATCAGCCTGGTACTATTCACCCATTGTGATTAAAATGAAAGGCACCTTCGACAATTGTGTTTGTATACGCTTGTTTCCAGGGCTCGCATTGAGGGGGGCTGCGGGGGGATGGCATCCCCCTGGTCGAAAAAAATGACAAAAAGCATCCCCTCTGTAAAACCTCCGTCCCCCCTTACCATCCCCTTTGGATTATTCATTTTGTGTATTACGTAAAACTTATCATGCACATAAAATGTTAAAATTCTCTACTTATGATAATTCACCAACAAAATAACGGCGATTAGCCAATTAGAACTCGTTACTGTAACAAGCTGCGCACAAGCCCGAAGCAAGTTTACGTCATTTTTGCGCAAAACCGGTTCAAGCGCAATTTTTTAAGTTCTTTAAAAAGAAGACAACAGAAGGTATGATTTTTCCTTGATTAGAATTTAAAGACATTCCCCTGACATAACGTTATTGTGCTGTGTGACTGTGAGGGACTGAGAGATGATAAGAGAGCTGACAATATCCGACTTTTCCAAAAAAAAACACGTCTTGAGAGTCCAAAAGCATTCACTGCGTGATGAAGCCTATTAGAATACAGGTAACATAACCTTATAATTCAAGCAATTAAAGAGAAAATACCCATGTGTGAATTTTTATGTTTTTATATTCATTGCACAAGCAATGCTCTTTTCTGAATATCAGCACCTGATCATTACATGTGCGCTAGCACAAATGTGCTGTTAGTTTTATACAACAGTGCAGGGCAACACATTCTTTAAATAAAAACCTTTTTAAAAATGACACATTTTTATATACCATACCAAACAGACGAGGACGACGGTAAACCGTATTACGCACAGATTCGTGGTTTCGTCCAGGACCAGTACTGTGAGAAAAGCGCGGCGTTAACTTGGCTGATCCCGACTCAGGCCAGTCCTCGAGATCGGTTTGATCCTGGCACATACATTGTAGGTAAGTTCATGCAGAAATACTGTGTTTTTGTTCCTTGCTGACTAGGGGTGTGCAATATCTTTGATAATACCGTAATTGTTTTAACAGTATGTGAGCTGATGTTATGGAGTGTGTCACTCACTTTGCAAAAAACAAACAAAAACACGTCTTGAGAGTCCAAAAGCATTCACTGCGTGATGAAGCCTATTAGAATGCAGTTAGAATGCCCTTATAATTCCAGCAATGAAACAAAAAATATCCATGTATGAGTTTTGTTTTATATTCATTGCACAAGCAATGCTCTTTTCTGAATATCAGCACCTGATCATTACGTGCGCTAGCACAAATGTGCTGTTAGTTTTATACAACAGTGCAGGGCAACACATTCTCTAAATAAAAACCTTTTTAAAAATGACACATTTTTATATACCATACCA